AATTATAAGGGACCAGCCAAGGAAAGGGGGGGAATTTTGAATGGCTACTACTGTACATCCGATTCCACAGACGCCCCATTTGGCCTCAGCTTGCTCCACATGTACTCACCTCACCACCTGCCTCTTTGTTTCTGACTCTAACCTGTCTTCTGACCAAGTTCTTTATTTCTAGAGGATTTGTAATTGGAAAAATACAGCAGAAATATCTTCCCAGAGGGTCGTTCAAGAGTTTGGAAACACTGTTGGAGTTCAGATTACCATTCAGTCACCAACCTCTTTGTCTCGATTTAGGCGCTTTCTTTCTGATCAGATTCAGAGTCAGAGTGGGCCTCCATCTTTCCACAGCCCCAAACATAAACACAGACTCTGCACAGGATAGTGTACTTAGCTTCCACAGGTACTGTCAGCAACCACCATGATAAGCCTGTCATCAACAAGGTTGGAATAAAGGGGTGGCAGTCAGACCCTGAACCTCTCACCATAATTAGCAAATGTTTGGAAAGGAGGGCCATGTTTAGGTTCCTGGGTGTGCAAACCTCCAGCTACATCCTGGCAATTGTCAGGATTTGGTTGTGGTTTGAGGACCCAAATGCAGAGGCAGGAAGGCAGAGGTGAGTTTCCTGTAGATTTAATGAAAGGTTGACAGACAGCTGAGGCAGGAATCCAAAAATCAAACATGAAAAAAGGAAAACAAACCAGAAACCATGGAGACTACAGGGGGAAACAATCACGACGAGGAAGACTCAGTAAGACGGAGTTGGAGGAAGTTAGATGAGGAACCAGCACTGAGGAACTAAACAAGGAGAATATTTATGGCTAACTGAACAAAGAGAGGACTAACGAGCAGATTGGGAGCAGGTGTGAAGAGAACTAAAATATAACCAGAAAACACAACAAAGTAAGAATTAAACCAATAAAACTAGAAAACATGGAGCAAAGTTAAACTGAATACTCAAAAGAAAACATAACAGAACATGTGACAGCAATGGCGACGAAAGCTCAGCGCTGCTCCACTTTCTGACGATCGGATCCAGAGGAGGCAGCTGTCAACTATCAACACGTTCTCTCATTCTTTTCTTTTTTTGTTTTGTTTTTTTTTTCCGCCATTTGCTGCACATTTTCAGAAAGATCCAATTTGTTTGTTTCCAGTTATATGGTAAATGGGTGGGCAGGGCCGGATTTAGGAAATGTGGGGCCCTAGGCAAAGACTGGCAGGGGCCCTCTGAATGGAGAAGACGACACATAAAACAGCCCCATTCTACAGATAGAGAAATGTTAATAGAATCAAAATATTCTCATTATCAGTTCGTATGAAATCGTACAAAAAGTAAT